CTTGAAGAAAAGAAAGGTGTTCTTCTTTTCATTTACCGGCTGTAAACTCTGGTGGAAAGTTCTGGTTATTTGTCCACTTCTTATTTAGAGGTTTGAGCGCACATCCATTTTACGGATCTTATTTGTATGCAAACTGTTGTTTCCTCGCCTTATAGGTAGATGCAGTCCGACTTTGAAGGAAACACCCCTGATTATTCGCTTTTTTATGACATCTTTTTAGGGGTGCAGTGGTTCTGTTCTTTTCCCAGCAAAATGAGTCCCTGAAACCCAGATGGGCAGAAAAGAGAAAGTGACCAATTAACCTTCATCTGCTGAATTTGTTTCTATTGCCTTTGTCTTCAAATACCTGCCTGTCCCCATGGTGATTCCAGCGCACTATTTGAAGAAGGAAGGGGGGGGGGGGGGGGGGGGTGTGTAGTCCCTCTGCTCCTTAAAAAGCATGTCATACAATACAACTAATGAAGGATTTGCTGAAACTGGATGGGTTGGACTGAAAGGCACATATATCACAGCCTAGCTTAAACCACAGCACAGCGTCCTGACTGTCCTTTTAAGGGTAAATGCATAAAAAGAATATACCAGCTCTTGTTCCTCTTGCCTTTATAAAGTGCCCTTTAACATCTGTATATTTAACTCCATGGTAACTTTGAAGGCGTCGGGTGTTTAGTTTCGAATGCAATATCTACTGTGAAGAGAACATTGTCAGATAGTATATCTTCTTTGGTCTTCTTCTAGCACTCAAGTTTTGCATGCACATCCATTTTACAAATCTGGCTTTGTGTGCAGGCTGTTGATTCCTCACCTCTCAAAGGTTGCGCTCCAACTTCAAAAGAAGTATACTATCTACGTTGACCAGCCTCCCAGTTGTGAACATGTGTCTAGGATGACCACAGGTAGATGTAGCCAGATTTTGACCCATGAGCCCTGTTCCTGCTGGACTACTGTGTGTGGCTCAGCATCCCAATAAGTAAGCTCTATGGAAAATTCTAGTTCTTCGTCCACTTCTGGACTTTGTTCTGGTTTCAGTACCTTTGCATGCAAATTTTTTTTTCAACAGGTCTAACATTTTTGTATGCAGACTGATGGTTCCTAACCTCTCAAGCAGATGCACTATGAATTAGAAGAAAACACACCTAATTAGTCAGCTTTTGATGACTTGCTTGTTGGTGGATGGTATGGGGATCTATTCTTATTGTTCCCCAAAATTGGACCTGGAATACACACAGGGAATTCCACATTGAACACTCCATTGTATTTGTTTATGTGTTGACATTTAATTTACAACACACTGGTTGTGAACATAGAAGAATATATTTTTCCTCAAGTGGCTTTTTTCCTGGCTTTACTGCCTTGTTTTATATAATTCTTAGCTTGTACATTTTTGGCACTTAAAAATATATTTTATACTTGACAGTTGTATATACAGTTTCATTAAATAAATACATGTTAAAATGCTGTCATTTTATTCTTGTGTTCTTGTGATGCCAGGATGATCTATTTTGTGTCATCCTTTACTGTTAATACTGTGAAGACAGAAAAAAATCGACTCTATAAGGACACTCTTAAAACTGGTCTTTATTGTTTCAACATCAAGACAGAAACATGGGAGGGTGCTGTACTGTACAACTCTAGTCTAGATGGCATACAGTCCTCAAGCATGGTGAATGGGTCGGCCAAGCTGCAGAGGTTTGCAAAGGCAAAGAAACAGCAGCAGACGAGAAAAGAATTGTGTGGCAAACACCACCTCTTCTGTCAGTTCCATCTGCTGTCGGCACTGCTGAAGAACTTTCAAGGCTCAGACTGGGCTCATAGTTTCAGGGACCACCATCGAAAGCTGGGAGGGATGGGGAGATCGACTTATTGTCCCTCAACAACAAACGTGTTGTAAAAGGTGACTTGTGTTCACAGAAATCAGAGGTGCTGTGCCAAAAGGCGAAGATTCACAGCCTAACAACAAATATAAGTTGCCAACTACCTTTTTAATGACGGGCGCAGAAAAGGGAACAGTTTTAATTGGGAAACAAAGTCTTAGATGGTTCGGCCACTTAATGAAAATGAATCTAACTGCGCCGGCAATGAGAGCATGTGAAATATATATATATATATATATATATATATATATATATATATATATATATATATAGTATAGACAGACCTAGAAAATGGACTGAAAAAGTCACTGACAGCCTAAGACAAAACCATAGTATACTAAGTATACTGTGCCCTTTATTTGCTGCTGAAAACGGAACATTACATTATTTTTTTTTTCTGAAAACGGGACATCCCAAGCCAGTCAGTTTAACCCCACCTCTTCCTCACTACACACACAAATATTCTGGTAATTAATTAATATTATTCTTAAAAGTATTTAAGGTGTACAGACATCACTATAAGCATATGTTCTGTTCTTAAGCTTACAACTTGATTTTTGAAAATATAAAACAGGACATGGCTTTTTTTTTTTTAAACACAGCCCGGACAGACCTAAAAACGGGACTGTCGGGATGCAAACGGGACGTATAGTCACCTTAGCTGCAGACTACCTATTAAACTGTGACGACTAGCGGTACGAAGGTGGTAGTGACAACAGACGACAATAAGAAAATGCGTTTTATTTAGGTAAGGGGGTGACTTCCATGCGCCAGGTTTTATCCCATATGGATGGCTTGGTCTCTTTGCAGACAGTTGCACAAAGGTACGAATTATATTGCTCCAGCAACAACCCTGAAGGGGTCTCAGAAACACATGCACTCACGAAACGAAGGACAGAGTCCGATATCGAATCCACACATGTCAAAACAGGCAAACGGTTTTACCACCTCGCCATAGAGACAAATGGTTAAAGTCGAGAGGACCGACTTCATTGCACCGGGTTTTATCCCACATAGTTTGGTCTGTAAAGAACGGCTAGATGACAGAATCGCACAACGCACGAATTCCATAGCTCCGACAATGATCCCCATAAAAATTGCAATCGTGAACCGAACGTCGCAGCCCTGAAACGAAACCACGAGCATCAGAGAACAAGGCAAACGGCTTGACTACTTTGCCACGGAGACAAACTGTCCGCTTATTTAGGACTTTACTGGCGTCTTACCGTCTTTTTAGACGGTACGCTATAGGGAGGTATGAGAGTGACCACCCATGGCGATGGCGAGTGTGACTAGCAAGACCCGCTAGTGTTAAGAAGTTTTCCACAATGATAAATGTGCTTTTTAAAATTTTTTTCATTAAATAAAGTCAGTCTTTTTTCTTCATCCTAATAGTCACCGGCTGTAAACTTCAGCGATAAGTTCAGGTTGTTTGGCCACTTCTGCACTTTGGTTATGTTTAAGAACCGAAGCTTTGCGTGCACTTCCCTTTAACAGATCTTGCTTATTTGTATCGCCGATTTTTGGTTCCTTGCCTCTCAGGCAAAAGTACTCTGACTTCGACGGAAACACCCTTAATTAGTAACCTTTATACGGCATGCTTGGGAGTGTGGGTTAGTGGGTCTAGCTCCCCCGCGTTCCTAAGGGGTCTCAGAAATCCACACAGGGCCGCAGAATTGGATTGGATTTTTTTACCCCACCAGGACATCACACAAGCGATAAACACCCGATGACACAAAGTGCCACCATGCGGATGAGGATTACCGTGGAGGGGTCCCAGAAACCGCGTTCAGACATTTGGCCATAATGATGACCTGCCTATATTGCGGCCCCTGGCAAAAGCCAGAGTGGGGCTTCAAATAACAAAAAATTACGTCCTGAAAAGGACGTAATGATTATCGCATAGGCCGCAGACAAATGCGAACTCTTTTACCGAAGGACAGGGTTGCCAGATGAAAAACTTAATTTTATGCCAAACCATTACCCAAAATATGCCAGAAAATGCCAAATAAAGTGTAAAAATGTACTCGCTTTACATCAAAAGCTATAGATTGAATTCTTTACTGTCATCCTCACTGGAACAAGTGCAAGACACAGCGTAAACCTTTTCGGATTTCAAATCTTTAAGCATTTTCTCAAATGGGATGAAGTCTTTCCAACTCATCTATACTGATGTAATATTTCTTATTCCGAAAATCACCAATAAGGTCACCCTCAAGTGCAGGCGATAACATATTTTTTATAAGGCATGAACATTTAGTTCTATGCAACTGTATGTGCTCCAATGTACTCCCCCGACCATGCGCTCTTATGATTTCACTTAAATGATCAATTGTGCGTATTGCACAAGGGCAGGTCAGGCCTACGGAAAGTTGCAACTCTGCTGCCTTTAACTTTATCCTTACTTTGCCTAGGATAGAAGTCATTGTTGTAATAAGCTGTGACTGGCTTTTTGACAGTTTTCATCCTGTGTTTTTCGGATTTTCTCATGATTTGATATGCTACTAATTCTTGGTGGAGCAGTGCACTGACACAGTTTACAATATGCTGCCTCTGATCCGTCTGAAGATCTTTTGAGCCGTGGGTATGTTTTCTTCCAGTTACTATTATACTTGCGATGTCTTAAGATGCTTTCCATTTTTTGGGGATGACGTGGCCATTGGGTATCAGTGATGGGTTTTGGTTTTATATCTCGAATTTATTCTAGTAGATTAACATAAATTACAGAGGGCCTTAGTTTATCGAAGTCACGATCCGTTTAGAAAGACAATAAATACAATAAGAAATGGCGCGAACCTCCGTTAGTCCGTACCAGAACATCACAACAAAATCAAACTGAAATAAAGATGTTGACTGTAGATCTAAATTGCTTTTAGCAAATCTGCGTGTTTTTAACAGAGGAACCATGAAGCAAATGTGAGCACATCTTGATAAGAAAAGCAAGGAAAAATCCAAATATGCCAGTTGATTTTCTTATGCCAGTTCAATTTCAAATATGCCAAATTTGTGGAATCTAGCATAAAAAATGCCAATATGGCAACCCTGCTGAAGGAGTTCCAGAAAAAAAGTAATCAAGGCCAATCAAGGGACGTCACTAACACCGCCCATTCACATTTCACATACGACACAATGGCTACCTTCGCTGTGAGAACCAGAAAAACTAGAAAGTGTAAGTTAAATGTCATAATACTGCATAATTTAGAAACATGTACATAAGCAGTTAACGCACTGAAACCGTAAAATTTGATCAAAACTTACTGTAAAGGCGTAGAAAGGTAAGTTGGGAGCAACGGAGGGAAGTAAGTAGGACGGGCTCGTCGTGACGGTACGGTCGTCAGCTTCTTTCTTTCCTTTACTTTACTACTCCTTTAGTGAATGGAAAATTAACCTGGAATAATGTATTCTATTCATTCAATAATCCCATCTCATCACGTACCGTAATGATTTTTTTACTGCGTTCGAAATCGAATATTTTAAAAATTATATTTTTGTCACCATTGGCAGTTCTTGAACCTTGGCACAAACTTATGATGGGGGTGTGCCACAGTACCATTGATATCGCATGTTGTATATTTCAGCACGCCAGCGCTTTTAACAATCCAAAAACATGGAGAAACTAGAAAGTGCTGCAACCTATGTCACAGGAATTCTCTTTCTTGGAATAAAAACGTAAATTAAATCCTCAACCTTTGCCATCCAGGAATGGCCTCTTTTGAGACACATTCCTTTTGTGTCGTGTGTAGCTTTGTGCAGTAGGTGGTTAATATTCCCCGATACTCTCATGTACGCTTTGACCTGTGCGACTTTGTATCTGCTAATCATCGTCGGCAAACCCAGGATATAACGCATTGCAGGAGGTGTCTTTTGTACAGCCAAGTATGAGTCTCATGGCCTCATTTTATACTCATTCCAGTCTTTCTAGCTGTGAATATCAGCTTCTGCTATCGCCTTGAGTGCTGTCAGACCTTTCCTGGCTCTAAGTATGACGTTGTCTATATGGCATTTATATGACAAGTATCTGTAAAATGTCATGCCCAAGTATTTCATGGTGTTCGTTCTCTCGATGTCCACACTACCCATGCTTATGACTGGCGTTGTACTGACGATGTGGGTATTCAGAGAGAACCATGTTAAGGAGGCTTTAGACAGGTTCACTTAAGCTCTTGATTCCTGGCACCACTCACTAAGTCTGTCTAGATCGTGTTGTAGTGTGGTTGTAATTTTGTGTCTGTTTTTACCTCGATGGTACACAAGGTAGGGATTACAATCATTCAAGTGACCCACTTAAAAACGAAAGTAGAGATCGCTTAGTTACAAGATGGCGTCGGTGGTCCACGAAAAATGGCTCCTTTGCCTATCAGTTACTTTGAAATCCTGTCGCTCAATACTGGCTGCTCAGAATCGAATATGTGGGCTCAAAGTTATCCAGAAAAGGTCGCTCAAACAAACGACACCTAACTTACATAGCGATCTTTGTTCAGCCAAATAAATTTCACTATTTGCCATGCAGGAAGTAAATTTCTTTAATATCTCCTTTTTAAAGTGAATATATATACTTTTAATTGTCATTTTTGGATTCTGCATCCATTTTTACATAAATATGGGCAGTTTTGCTGGAATCTTTACATCACAAAATTTAAACTTTCAATTTCTTCCCGGCCACTTCTTGACAGCTAAATCGGCGATTTTTCAAAATGGCTACCGCATGGCCTAAACGAACTGTTTATCTCAGATAAATTAATCTAGTTATTTATAGAAACAGTTCAAAAATAATGCAAGTTTTATTTGTATTAATAATTTACCTTTATTTAACTTTAATTTCACATGAGTTTTAATAATTTTAAATACCTGAAAATAATTTTTAGCACGTTTTTAAGATAGACTATTTTCTAGGGTTTTTTGCGTTTAAAATGGACGCAGACAGTGGTTTAAACATTTTATAATAATAGTTTTAAATGAATATATAGTAGTTATTTAATCATTTTTTGAATCTTTAGCCATTATAGCATTTTTTAAGCCATAACCTATCATTGGGCATGAACAACATTTTTTGTTTGAAGCCTTTTTACCTGTTGACCCCCACTCCCCACACCCAGGCTGACATTTTGGACGCAGACAGTGGTTTCAACATTTTATAATATACTGTTAAATGAATATATAGAAGTTAATTAATCATTTTTTGAATCTTTAGCCATTGTAGCATTTTTTAAGCCATAAATTATAATTAGGCATGAATAACATTTCCTGTTTGAAGCCTTTTTACCTGTTGACCCCCACTCCCCGCACCCAGACTGACATTTAAAAAAATGTCTGCCACACATTTCTGCACTGATTTTGTGGTGCATATTTATTGTCTTAAATAGTATAAATAACAGTTATTATTTATGACTGATACTGTTTTAAAATTGTAGTATTGACTTATAGATGATGATTTAGAAAGTTAATTAATAAAATTAATAATAATATATTATAATATTTTCAACTGAATAAATTCACTTACTTACACGTACAACTTATGATTAATAATATTAATCACAGATCACGTGGGACATAGATATGTTAATAAAATATAATGTTATTTTTCCTCTTACCTTATGAAATGCTGCTCCATGAAAACACAACATAAATCCAAAGCGAATTACATCTCCATTAAAACACAACATAAATCCAAAGCGAATCACAAAGGAGCTTATTTAATAATTTTACTCCATGAAAAACATAGCACTGAGTCACAAATCGGGCATGAGCAGTTACCTTAGATTATTTTGAACAAGTAAATAAAATATACAGCAGTGACTAGTTAAGAAGAAGAGTGGAACAATGTGGTGAAATGTCTCATCATCAATAAAATGAAAGAATAACTCGCAAAGATTGAAAAAGGGATTATGTTAAATCAGTAAGAGGGGCGCTCATTTTCACCTGGTTGTAAAACAATATAGGAATATAGATGTCTCCGTATCAAAGTGGTCAAGCCATTAACCTCGCGCTCGGAAGATTGTGGTACGTTCATTTACAACTGCATTGTTCGACTCAAAAATGCATTTTTTTTGTTAGCGGAGACCTCTGAGGGCTGTTGCTGGAGCTACAGTATTCAGGCTTAGTGCTAAGCTCTCGGCATGCGCTATTTGTTCAGTTATATGGAGAAAGACAAAGCCATATAAAACCAGTAACGATGCAGTGAAGTCAATCCACTCGCTATTAAACATTTTTTAAACAGTGGAATAAAGCAAATTTCGGTCAGATGTATGCACACACACACAAGTGAGTATGCGAGAAAAAACATTTTTCAACAAAAAGAAAAAGATGCAGCATAACAGGAAGAATAGATACAAAAGTATATATATATATATATATATATATATATATATATATATATATACATATATTCCAGTATACGTCTTGCAAGACTCACTGGATAATAATAATTAATTCATAAGGTATTTAATGAATACTGATAAATTTACTCATTTTTATGTTATTTAGGTTTGCATCACATCATATTTTTAAAAAGGCAACAACTTTAGTTAGAGCTTGCTGCCCTGAAAGCGATGACATATGGTTGCTAAGGGGTTCAGCAAAAAACTTGAGAGTTATTGACATTAAACATGATAAATTTAGGTCCAGTTTTCACTTGGGTACACGCCGCCATCTTGTTTCTGTGTTTTCCATTATAATTTTTTGAGGGCACTTTCCGTCACTGAAATGTGAATATCTCCGCTTAGAATTGACATACAGACTTCATTGAGGTACCGTTGGACTCGGTTTTTCAACCTCTATTCAGCTGTCTTGGTTTAAAAGTAAAAAACCCAAAATAAAAATTTTGACTAAAATCCCTACACAAGGAAATCATCTGCATTTTCAGATCTGCAGGCAAGCATCTAGCTGCTACACCATGGTGGCTCCCATGTATTACTGTAACCCATTTAACTAAGAAAGCAGTGAGTAGTAACATTAACCCTTCATGCCTGTCCCAAAAGACAACTGATAAGGTTGTTATGATTCAGGCTGCACCATCCAAATAAAACTATAACAGTAAAATCCAACCAATCAAAACAAGTCTAAACATTACTTGGTGTGAATTGGCTGGAGACCTGTACAGCACTGGAAGATGAATATCAGAAGAAGTAGACCCAATACATGAACACTTTTATTTAGTTGGCAATAACTTGTTTTGTCTTTTGTGCTTTTTGTTTCCCATTGGAGCTTAAGCCCTTAGCCAGCTCATGTCAGGATTTCCTATTTTTTTGCCCTCCCCGTGTTTCTGAATCTTTTTGCAACCTCAAGACCATCCTTCCATAATGATCTCTTTTAACATGTTTTAAAGGTTTCTTTGCTTTCTGCAAGGAGCCGTGTAAGACACTGGGGATGTTTATCATTTAGACATAATGTATCATATGTTTTGCACACATGATTGTATAAACGGTGAAATATAGTTCCTTATCATGAACATTTTGTTCATGATTGTATCAAAGTTGTAATATTGCTTCTTATTATATCTTGTGCATTGTTTTTTTTTAATTTCTTGATTGTATTAATGATGTACTGCAACTTTGTATGTCATGGAAATGTTTTATTTCATGGTTGCATCTGAGGTGTAATGCAGCTTCTTGTGAGCATTCTTTTTTTTTCATGACTGGTTCAGAGACTTACATCTGCTTCTTATATCTGACATCAACTTTGTTTCACCACAGCCGATGGCATAGCTTACAGCGAACAGTCCTTGCGACAGAATGCATTTATACTGGAATATTGTCGCACATCAGTGTCTGCTCTCTCTGGGGCCACAGCAGGAATCATGGGATTGACAGGATTGTGGGGGTTTATATTTTACTTCATCACTGCATTGATACTGTCGGTGAGTGCTGCCCTTTGTTTGTGACTTCTATTTCCTGTCTGTGGATGCAGTTTGCTATAATTATTGATATCTCTGTTACATATTCTTGATCATATATAATGAGATGGGGTTAATTAGTTAGTCAACAGATTATCCTCATTGCACATTGAACTGGTCAGTTCTTAAGTGTTGGATCCTCTTCTCAGTAAAGCCCATAATGTGTAGTGGCTGATCGCAAAGGGCAAAACTACAGAGAATGGCTCAGGATCAAAATGAGTGGTGACAGTTTGTCTCTGCCTTATATGCCTCTAGGCAGGATGAGGATTAATGATTGATTGTTTCTATTTTTTAGCACATTTCGTTTTCAGATGAGGCTTCATGTCCAGTATATCAGATAGGCTGGCTGGCCATTGATGCTTTAAAAAGTTTTTTGGATCTAGCCATGAGTTGCTGATACGAATTCCCTATTTCTTGACTGGAAGTCCAAAGGTTCCACTTCCATTTGACTGAATTGAGTGCCTAGTGCAACACTATGAGCTGCGGATTTCATATGAAATGTTTTTTCTGTTGTGCTCACAGCAGCTTTGTGTTGGGAACTAGAGTTAAAAATGGCAGACAGTCATTTGCGTTCAGAATGGCATTTACTTATGCTCTATTGTGTCTGTAAATGCCAGCTTTTGTGACTAACTGCTTTCACCACCAGTGAGCTGTAATTCTCATGGGAGACTGTTAGTGTTGGCACATCTGGCAGCTGCCTTAAGCATTTGCTTTGCGGGAGCGAGCTTCAAGATTTTGCTGAAACTGATGTCTTTTGCTGTTTTGTTTTAAATGGGACCAGACGGGACATGTTTCTATGATTTCCACTGGCACAGGAATGGAGCATTAATGGAGCAACCCATCTGCAGGGATGATGGAACTTCAGCTAATGGATTAAGCACGGTTAAGCAGGACTGGCTATGGAAAGAAATAGAACATATTTGTTGTAGTCATCTATTTCATAGCAGGTGTAAATAGTGATGCCATAAATTTTTTTTGTATTTGTTATATTGTGAAGCTTGCTAATATACTTTTCTTTTGGATTTATATCTTCTCTTAATTTGTTTTAGTCCTCTACTTCATAGCAGGTGTAAATGGTGATGCCATTAATTTGTTGTAGTCATCTACTTCATTGCAGGTGTAAATGGTGATGCCATTAATTTGTTGTAGTCATCTACCTCATTGCAGCTGTAAATGGTGATGCCATTAATTTGTTGCTCATTGCAGATTCTCTTACTTGTAAAGGCAGGTGCTCAGTGGAATTCTTATTTCATAACAAGAAAAGTGGTCTTTGACAGTGGCTTGTTTGGTGGACTTTTTGTATCCTTTTTAAACTCAGAATTAGTGTACAGAAAAGTAGCTGATAGCTTTCAGGTCTTTGGTGTTTATTAGATTCTAGCATTATATTTATAGGCTTGTTGGTACTTGTGAAGAAATAAACATCCATTGGAATAAAGCAAACCGACTATTGGTACAGCTATCACCCCTCTTAAGCAGAAGGCAATGCCAGCACAAGAAACATCTCATGCCAAGCATATTTATTTCCATCCAACACTACCAGTACTAGACATGTCATTCACAGCTAATAAGAAAGAAAATTGGTAACCATTGAAATGAGATGTCTGAGAAGGACTGCAGGAATGACCAGAAAAGATTGAATCAGAAATGATGTTATAAAGGCACAGAACCAGTTCGAATTACATATAAAGACAGCAAATCCAAAAGTTTGCACACTCAATGATAATGTCTTCTGATGTCATACTATACAAAGCATACCTTAAAAGACGGGAAGGTCATAGAGCACAAGTGAGACCAAGAACAAGATGGAAAGATAACAACAGATAAACTACAACAGCATGATGTGTCTGTAGTCAGGGCAGCCAGAAAAGCAAGAAGAAGTATGTCTTCCTTGACACTCAATGCAGTAACAGAGGAAAGTAAGAAGGAGAAGTTGGCACTTTAGGGGTTGTGAGGGTGTCTCAGTATTAGATGTAAAATGTTCTGAATTTGCAGTTCTAAACCTAATAAAACCAATGAGTTTCCATGAATAGATGGCAGAAAAGGAACTTGTCACCACAGCTTTTAATGTCTCTTCCAGTATAAAGGAAAAGCTAATTTTGCATTCCTCGATCATCAGTGGCTTGCTGGACGGTCAAGGATGCAAGGTTGTCGTGTGGGAGACCTGGGTTTGAATCGCTGACAGTGTTGGGGATTTGTTCTGTCGGGGGCAAAAATAGAATCCTAAGGTTCATCACCACAAAAAGTGGTAAATACAAGCGGTAATGGCGGGTGGCAGATCTTGAGATCATTATCTTATCCTTCCTTAACAGTTAAAACCCAGAAAATAAGTTTCTTCCATCCTGATTTCTCTATAGATGAGGTTCTATTAGTTTGCATGTTTTTATGAAATTTATTTAAGAACAGATTACTGTTTACATTAACTCCTTAACCATTGTTTCAAGACATATGTTCTTTTTTGGACGTAAGTATTGTATATTTTTGTATGTTCTAGTATAGTTGTCATTATTTTTATTGAAAATATTTTCTCCTTGTGAACATAAATAATCAGGAGACAGTCAGTTTTTTTTGGCCTGGTATGGAGAAATTGAAAACACGTTAGCAAAAGGTGGACAGGGATACAAGTGGGAGGATAACATCAAGATATGGATGACCGGCTCTTGTAGAGAGAGTATTTTTTATTGGTTCAGTGGAATATGACAGAGAAACCTGCTAATCCCTGCACTTCCTAAGTTGAAAGTTTGTCACGGATGTAAGTATATATTTAAAACAAACAAGTCAGGTGCTCTGCATAACCCCAGGTTTTCATATAGACTACCATTTAGGAACCACTAGCCTAGAGGGACATCTGGGTCAGAAATTATTGACTGGGCACAAGACAGAATGTTGTGGACAGACATGACTACCTCCGACTATTAAAATAATTTGGATTTCTGTTTTTCTCATCGTATATTTGTATTATTATTGTAGGTTTCTCTACGGAATGGTCCACGTGTATTAAGCAGATCAACTATTTCCTGATTCTGTGATGACTAACCTTATGCTGGGAATAGCGAAGAAAGAAAGTTAGAACTGACTTTGTTATCTTTTCTTTAATCAATGTGTTACTTACCAGTTCATCAGAAGGAGTGTCTCAGGTTGTCGCATCACAGTTTCATGTCGTCACTTCACGTATTTGATTGATTTACTGTCACTTCACTTTCTTTAATTAACTTTCTGAGAGGGGAGTGCAAGTGTGAGTGCAAAATAGTTTTAAAAAATGGATATGAATGTTTTCTCTGCAAGTATTTATGGATATTTTCAGTTTATATTTCACTGAACAGAAAACTGGAAAATAATTTTAAATAAATAACGGTAATGAGTCGAAGAAACAAGCGTTTTGTTTTTTGTGTGTTATGCCATAAACAGTTGTATTTTGTGTAATAGAGCTGAGAGTAAACAGTTTGTATTTATAGTAGAATCAAACAGATTAGTTCTTAACCCTGTCCCCCTGGTCAGTTCTGCTCCCCATAAATGTCACTTTTCTGACTTCTCTAGAGTGACTTGTTTACGAGACTCATAGTTAATACTGTTGGCTGAGTTCACTCCTGCGCAAATGTTTAGGAGATGGGATATGAATATATTAGCTAAAAATAGCATTTAGAGAGGTGTTCCTGTGAATCAGATAGCTTTTTTAAAGCCAGTTTGGCATCAGTTTTTTTCCCCGCAAGCCTCAGTTATAATGAGTCACCTGATACATATTTTTTTTTTCAGGCCCAAGGGAATACTTCATCCTGTTTGTGTTTATTGATAATTTCCCTTTTATTATCTTGATACACAACCCAAAAAAAAACACCTTATATATATATATATATATATATATATATATATATATATATATATATATATATATATATATATATATATATATTAATGACACTAAATTTTTTTAAAGGATTTTTTCTTGCATTTTCATCACCCATCTGTTTAGTGTTAAGAGTAGGGAAGAGGAGGGGGGGGAGGCATGGTTAATGTTGATGTAACAACAAGAAAAACCACCCAGACAAGCTTCTGGCTGAAAACACATTAACAAAACAAAAACTAATATTTACTTTTGATTATTAACTTTTGTTATTCAACAGGAAAGTTATCAATAAATTATGAAAATATTTACACAAGGCTCATCGCTTGTACATTGTCATACATTATTATAATCTTTTTTTTTAAAATAAAATTAAGCAATTTTAAATTATTCTATGAACATATTTATCAAAGAATCATCATTTATACATGGTTATAGACATCTTTATAATAAATGTATTCATCCTTTATAAATTACTGTATGGAGGACACTAAAAAATGAATAATTTATAGATCATTTTAGACATCTTTATAACAAATGGAGACCCACCTTGTGTAGTGGCTAGATGCTCGCATGTGGATCTGAAGGTTACGAAATCAAATCCAAATGGTGCCGAACTTTAAAAAAAAAAATTTATTTTAACTTGACCCAGCCTTAAATGAGTACTAGGTGAAGTCCTGGGCAGTAAAGGCGGCCTGTGTGATGCTGACCGCATCACCCACAGAGTGTTGATTGTTTCATAAAAATATAGGTCTCACAAGGAGGTCCTTTTTTTAATAATAAATGCTTTCACTTTTTATAAATGATTGTACATACAATTTATGTGTAGAAACAAAAACAGTCAAATGCCAGAGACAGGGAATGAAAAGAGTTGTTGAAAGTCAAAAAAGTATTTTGGTTATATTAAAAGACATGACACTCATAAAAACCAGACTGGAGAGAAAAATTATAAGACAAGAGGCAGACAATGATACAAGTGGAAAGATAGTATCAGGAGATGAACAGACAGCAGTCCAAGGGGTTACATTCAGGGAAAAAGACTGAGACAGAGCATGGTGGACAGCAATTGTGGCCAGCCTTCATTGCGCAGTTTTTGTTTCTGTCATTGTAATAGAAACTTTGTAGTGAGTTCCAGCGCCTTTTTTTAAAGATCTTTTATTCTAGGAAAAAGTCCTGCTTTTATCAAAGCATCATAAATTATATATCAAACATTATTACAGACATCTTAATAATATGAATAAAGAAGACACGAACAATAGATTGCATAATTTATAGCCTGGCATATTTCACTGTATCTCGCCATGTGCATACTACGGTAACAGTTAAATAAAATAAAACAAATAATATGCCTTTATAACTGAAGTACAGATTCAGACACTATTAAAAACAACTGCCTGTTTCACTGGGGCAATCATAACGCCTCTGTCAAGTCTTTTTTAGTGGATGAGATACAGCTAAATATACCAGGCAATAAATTGTGTAATCTGTTGCTTGTGTCTTTGTTCAAATTTACAATGGGGAAACAATGCTTTGATCTTTATGGTTAATGGATTCACCAGTTGCAAATAACTGTGGACACATTTTTCAAGGAATCATTGCTTAGACATTATTATAGACATCGTTAAATCATATCCTTCTTTGATTTCTACAAGTCCATATCATGTGGTATTGGTAGCCGTGGCTATCCCCACCCTTCTGTCTTGTGCATTGCCAATCATTTTTAATACAGTTATTCTTCCATGCCATGATGACAAATTGTTTTGTATTCATCATTATCATGCAGCAGCTTCTTTGCAAATGCCACTGTCGTTATGGCATGCCAGAAGGTCACCCAGTCCTATATCAACTCTCCCACCTTGTAAACCCTCAACCCTAGGGTGTCCTTGACAGCAAGAGTCTACCATTTTGCTGGTGGCCTCAGGAGCTATATCCTGGTCCTTTTTCTTGGACGGAGGGGGGCGGGGGTGGGGAGATACTCTTCTTCTTTCTTTCTAACCCCCAGTGGAGCATAGGCCCTCAACCAACTCACGTCAAGTCGCTCTATCATGTGTATTGCATGCAGCTCTGCCCATGTCCTCCCCATCTTTTTAACTTGGCTCTCTAGCTCCCTTCTCCATGTGTTTTTTGGTCTTCCTTTATTTCTATGCCCCTGTCGGTTCCAGGGCAATGACATTCTAGTTACAATGTCCTCAGGTTTTCTCAATGTGTGTCCTATCCAAAGCCAGCTGTCACCTAATACGCATATTGTAAAAGACAACTAATTAGGGACTGGCTAAAATCAGATGCACGGGCCGAAAGGTTCAGATATCACAGCCTAGCTGTAAACCGCAGCACAACATGTCAACTGCCCTATAAGGGCAGATGCTGACAAATGAAGAATTGCTCCTTCCAAATCATTATGGCATTTAACATGCTTTCATACTCATCACATATATAATATGTAGGCATCTCTCACAATCATCACATATACTTTATGATACAAATATTTTTATAAATATTTTTATACCATTTTCATCACTTATAAATTATTTTATGAACATTTACATAAAAGATTAACCAATATACATGTTTATTTAGACATCATTAAAAGGTTAAAATTGAGAGGATCGACTTTACTGCACCGGGTTTTATCCCATATGGCTTGGTCTCTCTCAGCAGAATGGCTAACTGACAGCCGAGAGCGCCACACAGAGCACAAACTCTGTAGCTCTGGTGATGATCCCCAGGATCTCTGTAAAAACTGCACTTGTGAACTAAATGATACAGCAATGAAATGAACCCACAACCTTCAGAGCATAAGGCAAACGACTTAATCACTTCGCCACAGGAACGACTGATTTAGACGTCTTTAATAAGCATTGGGGATCTGTAGTAGAATAGTGACTACTCTTTACCAAGATGAACATCTAGGCTATGTAGTGACACAATAAAACAAATGGTGCCAGTGAACATCTTTAACACATGCGCAACGAGTTATAATATAAGCAACACCAGCTCGTTCAAAATATCAACTTATTAGCTAAGATAGCTCCCAGTTCTAGAAATCTGAAGAAGAAAATGAAGACTGGTATCTCCATTTGAACTTCATTGGTTTAGATCAGAAATATTCAACTGGCGGCCCCCGGGGGCCTCGTGTGTGGTCCACAGATCACTGTTTGGTTGTATTGCATTAATAGGTTTAGATTTAGACATCAGATCATCATAATGTCATAAGGGTAGTAACCCATAAGTGCTCTGTTATACTTCTAACTCAGGTCTGAGTCCGAAGTATCTCAGCACAGAGCACAAACTCCACAGAAACAGCTAGGATCCGGAAATAGTATTGTATTAATAATCTTTCTAGATGCTGGTGCCCCTGAGTGAACTTAGTTGAAAAGCCCTGATTTAGACCAACGTGTAACCAGAGCCATTTTTTAGACAATTATGTGGGTATACATACTGTGTTTTTAAATTAAATTATGCACAGAATCACATGACATCCCAGATTTACATTTCACTATGGTGGCATGACAGTCTGATTAGGCCAGTCAGATACTAGGTAGGTCAAATGAACTTGTTGGCCTCTCTAATATAAACTGAGGATGGAGGCACAATAGATACTTGTTAGTCCACATCGCTTTTTCGGTGCCTTGTGCTCTTGCTTAAGTTTTGTCATTATACATCTTACCCTTTTCCTAAGACCTTTATCTCGCCTTGGGACATTGGACATATTGTACTAGACCTATATTTTTATAGACCAACGGCTTGATGGGTAATGTGGTGACCATCACGCTGGTCACCTTTACTCCCAGGGACATTGTCTAGTGCCCAATTTAGGCTAGGTCCTCTTTGGAGCCAAAGGGAATTTTGAAAACTGCCTCAATGTGGACTAGAACCCTAGACCTTTAGTATAACAGACCGGCTGCAATACAGCAGCTTCCTATACCTCTTTCATTTTTGAAGATATTTTCTTATTTAACCTTCTCTTGTATAAGTTGAGAAAAAGAAGGAGTTAATTTCATACTGCATGTGTTTACAATTCATACTAGAGTTTCTTGCTCCGCCTCTGAAGTTTTTTTCTGTGTTGCCAGTCTTTCCCAATACTTCCACCTTTCCTTTTCCCACTCTGTTGAACCAATTGGTAAGTTGTGTCTACAACTGTCTATGTGAGATGTTAAATGGACAATCTGTGAACTTGTTGGAGAAGCTGTTAATGTTGTGGAAGATGATGATGGTGATGCAGTTTGGAAAAGCTGTTTAGGAGAGGAAGCTCGTGATCTTGGGGGAGTTAAAAGGATTTGCTGACCAAACTTTGGATTATCTGATCCTCCATAACTATTCCTAGAGGATGAGGCAACACTGTTTGTACTGGAGCCACTGTTTTCTCGAAGGTACAGTGGCCGTGGAATGTTCAGGCATTGGTTATACCCTTCTGAGCAAGGACGATCAAAACTGCCAATTTCTAACCGATTTCGAAGCACCACTTCAGTATTTTCCTGTTCACACTGTAACTGAAAAACTGGGATTCTGTTTGAGACAGGACTGGGATATGAGTGATTTGAATTAAATTTCTCAGGTTGAAAAGCTGGCTTTGAAGGCAAAGTTTTATAAATGTCTCTTGACACTGGTGTCGAAGTTTGAAACAATGATGGATCAAGGTCTGAAGAGTTTGGTGGTGGAGAGTCTAAGCTGTCATCTGCACTTTTGGTAATCCTCAAAGGGCGATGGGATGCTGCTGTTTGCTTCCGAGCTAAAGCTATTAAATCAGCATCACTGTTTGTAGCATGGTATAATATTGGACTGTTGGAAGACTCTTCAAAGACACTTCCCATAGACTCTGGATCAGTCTCAATTCTGGGGAGGTTAAAGAAACATTATTTTAGACACTTGATGATCATGTTTAGCCCAGGATAAATTTCACAACTAAAAAAAAAACAAAGAATATTTTTAGCAGGAGGAGAATACAGGCCTGATCCAAAATCCTGGTGATCACATGAGATGGCAAAGGCTAACTGTGTCCACGCACATCAACAGAGATATCAGGACAGCACATGTGGTTCTGGAAGATGCACACTCAGATTCTTGTTGGGATGCAGAGGTGCTGAACCAGGATCACGGCTCTATCTATAACTCTCAGTCTGCAGTCATCCTAGAAACAGGTTCCCAGCCGCAGCCTGGCAAACATAGATCAGACTGATGTCTTCTTCCAAGTCACAGTGTATGTGCCCGACAGGCAAGGACCCAATGGTTGCCCACAAGTTAGCCAGATCTACAAAATGATGTGCCTGCATTACTCAACTCCTGGAACAAGACTAAAGTCTGTCAGTTCATGAACAACCAGGACTTGCTGCTGGAGTTTATGGCCAGTGAACATGAAAGCGGACTGGAAACAATATGCTGCTGTAAGAATTGATAATGAGATAAGTCTACCATTCAATCACGAGAGGTATGCGACAGGCATGTGTAATGTCTCCAGACTTTTCTTCCATGTAAAGTAAGAACATTATGCGACATCTGAAAGACACGATGGGAGCTGTGGGAGCATGTAAATGATACAGTGTTAACTGCAAACAATGTAGAATATTTTAAAGGTTTAGTAGATGCAGTAATAGTTCACAGTGAAAAACTGAGCTTAGAGTTAAACTGTAATAAACTTGAAATATGGTCATCCACATACAAAATAATTAAAAAAATTAATTCCATAAAAGGAGAAATGATGAAAAGAAAAAAATAGGGTTAATTCTACCATAAATATTAAAGTGGCTTGATGTTTACTAAACAAGAAATCAAGCAGACGTATATTCCACTCTGATCCTGTGGATAAAACATCTAACTATAGCTCAGACAATTGAGCAAAACTAGAAGGATATGTGTGCATTTTAAAAGTCCCTTAGCAGTTCTTTTTCTGCCTTTTTAGCCCCCAAAGGAGCATAGGCCCTAAACCAACTCACGCCACGTCATTCTATCTTTTGCTATCGCATGCAGCTCTCCCCATGTCCTCCCCGTCTTTATAATTTTATTCTCCAGCTTCCTTCTCTATGTATTTTTTGGCCTTCCTCTATTCCTATGCCCACGTGGGTTCCAATGCAAAGACATTCTAGTAATATTGTTCTCTAATTTTCTCAATGTGTGCCCTACTGCCAGCGTCTTTTCTTTACCTCCTGGTCCACTGGAGCTTGCTTAGTTCTCTCCCAAAGCTCTACATTAGTGATTCTGTCTACCATTTAAATAGACTGCAAGCCATTTGTGACACATAACAGCACAACACGCCAGTGAATGAATCACTGAATTAAACTGAAACATAGGAGCCAAAACTAAAGAGAGATATACAACTACGAAGGATGTAAATGACAATATATATATATATATATATATAAAATCCCAGACATAGAGACACTGGAGAAAAGTAAAAAGATAACACCAAGAGATAAATGAACTGAGAGTGTACAGCAAGAGCAAACTATAATACACACACAAGACAACACACTCACACATACCCATACACTTTCTCATTTATATACTCTCATATATACTTGTACATTTGCATACCCATGCATACACAGTCACCCTTACATACCCATACATGCACAAATACCTGTATATACTCACACCTATTCATACTCATGGGTGAATATAGTCAAACACATCTATGCATAATAAATACCTATAAATGGAGAGAAACAGCAAGATAGGATAAAACTTAGTGCACTCCAATTAATGCTTTTGATTTTAAAATTAAAAATTTTTTAAAAATCTCAAGTTAACTGTGTTGGTCAACTTACTGATTTTGACTAGCTAAACTTCTGAGTATCTTGTCCACAGTTTCTTGGCTTGACTTGACCAACAACCGCAGAACATCATCTCTCAAACCCTCAGAAATCTGTCAGATGTAAACAATGTTACATATTCAACAAGTAATAAACATTTTTTTTTACAAAAACAAACACCTTATGACCTGTAATGAATGAAGGGACATTACTACGCTTAGAACAATGGCACATGCATTATGTCCCTTTTATCAGTGGCCAATAATAAGCTCCCATAAAGATGGTGTCAGGTGCAACCCCGATTAATAATGCATCAAGTTTTTCCCCCTGAAAATTGGTTGCCAGACTGAAAACTGTACAAATGCATGAAATAACATGTGTAAAGAAAGCATACAATTTGGATTTAAGTATAGATTTGAAAGAAAAAAAAAAAAATTGGAGATTCACTATAGATTTGTCAGTTTCTGCTTATATGTTTTAATTTCCTTAACTCTTTATGCCCCAGCCAGTTGTTACACTAAATAAATCTGCAACTATGGTTACTTCAACCCTTTGTGTCAGATAGTGTTTATGTTTTAATTACTTCAGGTAGAAATATTTAACCTGTATTAAATAAATTAATTTTCTTCAAAATGACATAATGAGTTAAAATAACATGTGCCTGAGACTGAAGAGTTGAGATCTGTGTACAACCAGTGTGCTATTAGAACAATCAGCGCCCACAGCTCTCATTGTGAGGCAGCGGCTCGCAACCTGTGGGCCTGACACTTTTGTGGGTTGATAACGTTTTCACAGGGGTCGCCTAAGACCATCGAAAACACATATTCACTGAAGTTATGAAGTAGCAACGAAAATAATTTTATGATTTGGGGTCTAAACAAGATGAGGAACTTTTAAAGGGTCGCGGCATTAGGTAGGTTGAGAACCACTGTCCTGAGGTGTTGATGGTGTCATTTTATCTGCTTCCTGATCTTCTTGAATCTCTGCAACCTGCAATCTTCTATAAACTAAGTTAGGGACACTAAGCCACAACCACTAGCACAACTAACCACTGAAGCCTTTAAAACTTGGCATACACAAAAGCAGACCATAATTATAACTGAAGCTGTCCTTAGTAGTGTTGAACTTGATTGACTTTTTATTTTTCCTAAAGAATAAATGAACGATTCCATAAACAAGATATCAGATAACTACCTTGGAAGGAACGTGATGAGAAAGTCAACTGGCCACCTCATGTAATTCTACCAAGTTTTTAACACTTCACACTTCTATGGCAGCATTAGCTATTGTGACAAACTGTACCTACTATATTAATTTTTTTTAAAATTTCAGTTACACACATTTAGCAGTGACTTCCCTTTAACAGACACACATCAATGACCTCTCCTTACCTCAAACAACTCATGATGGTTGTCAATCATGTCTTTAACCACCTCAATCACTTCTTTGCTCTGCTCCACACGCTCCACCGACTCAGAAATCAACTCCTTGTCTGTGGTAATTCTTGTATGGTGGAGAATATTTGGGCCAAACAGAGTTGCCAGATTGTGGGAATCCATTTTGTTGCCAGAAGCCTTGGGGGAGGAACAATTGTATTTATTCTTTAAAAAAAAAATAATGAGTTATACTGAATATATTTTAAAACATTTAAACACTTCTGGTATCCTTTTTCTATTGTCGAGTGTCTTTTTTCTTTCTTATTATTTTCTTTCTCCCTGCCAATGGTTTTCAGGTGAGAAGATTAGAAGATTACAGGCCTCTATGGTACGAGGTATATCCTCTACTGACCCTTGCAGCACATGCTTAATATTCTGTGGTGTCTATCAACATCTGAGTCCTCAATCTTTAATTTCTTGTATATAAGGATGCGAATGTGATTCTTAATGTCGGGGTGCCAGGTTTGATCCCAGCAGCAAGTAATTTGGCAGCAGATTGTCTTGCATTGGTTTTGACAGTGGTATCGACAGTTGACCATCAGAAAGAAATGGCAAACTACTGAACATAAATTTGCCGTAAAAAGATCACAACAGCCAAAAAAAGCTAGGGTGGTTCTGCAGCATGTAAAGTCATGCATCTAACATGGCCATGGAGTCTTTTGTGTTTGCAAAATATACGTTGTCTTTGAAACCTGCTTTTTCTTGTGCATGCAGCAATATCTTAACTGTATCTAATGCCAGATCATCATCATGTGCTCTGCCAACTGGCATAGGCACTCATGTGTCTCCACAGATCTCGATCCCTGGTTGCCTGGAACAGCTCTCTTGATGATATCCCTCTATGCCATCGTTTCAGCCCATCCAGCATCATCTCTCTTGGTCTGCCTCTACTACCTCTTTTTGCACTGATCTTTTCAGTCGTCACAATGTTCTCCAATGTCTCTCTTCTCATTATGTGGCCAAAGAACAGTATTTGTCTCTTTCTTGTTGTATATAGAGAACTACTTTCATTAGCTTCTTTCAAGCAATCGTTAGTTACTTTGGCCGTCCAAGGTATTCGTAACATTAGTCCCAGAAACAACATCTCTGTTGCTTCCAAATTCTTCCTAATTTGTTCACTGACATTCCAAGATTTGCTGCCACACAGCAAAACAGATATGTAGCATCTTAGAACCTTTTTTCTGACATTAAATGACAGCGTTTTATTGCATAAGATATTTTACATTTCTGAAATGCAGCTTTCGCTTGACCTATTCTGCTTTTAATCTCTGTAACACATTTTCCATCTGATGATATGATTGTTCCCAGATATTTGAATTTGTTGACCTGGTTAAGTCTTTTTCTTTCAATTGAGATATCACAACGTGGAATTATCTTCTTTTTTACTTAATGCCAGATGCTTAATAATAATAATAATAATAATAACAATAATAATAATAAAGGATTATCCTCATCTAATTAAAAGAAACACCGACAGAATTAAAATACAAAACACAGAAAAACCAGCAACAAAACTCACAAGTCCTCCTTTGTCATCAATGAGATCCCTGGCATGTTGGCTGACCACTGCCAGAAACCTAAGCAAGGCCCAAAGTGTGTCCCGGTTGGCGACTGGAAGCATGGATATCAGCAGACTAATGGCAGTTAGTCTCTTCTGCTCATCTTTTAATCCTGGAGAAATTATCTCGAAGTGAATTCACAGGTACTGTTTGAAAGATTAACTCTTTCAGTCACAGGGGTTTAACATGAGGCCCAAGGGGTAGTAAAGAGAGACGTGAAATTGGTTCATCTTGCATTCACTGGGCTTCCAGGTCAGAACCTATGAACGTTCTGTGCGTTGCTTGGGACTGCTAGAGTTAAGCCCTTAGAGGATTTAATAGTTCAAACATATTTGCATGCGAAACGAGGCAAAAATCAAAATAAAACTGAAGTAAAACTCAGTCCGTGTGATCTAGCCCAAAACTCAACATGGACTCACTAAACACCTATGGTTTAGGACCAACAACAAAAAAAAAGTAGAAATTGCGAATGTCAAAGAACTAAAAACAAGGGTTTGCATGTCCAGGTAAATGATTTCATAGAACACTAAAGAATCAAATGGTTTGGTCATCTTGTCAGGTTGGAACATAATCAGCCATCGCTAGAGCGTTCTACATGAGCACAGCAGGCTACAAGTCAAGAAAAAGATGGGTGAAGGGGAGTAAAAAAGATACTACAAATGTTGAATATTGAATTAAAAATCAACATCGCAGCACTTGGGACACTCACATAAGTGCTCAGTCCCCATCTTCAGCAGCAAGCGATGAGTTCCTATTCCGATGATATGAGCAACCGCCTGATTGTATATCCGTCTCATCCTTCCCCTGAATTTTGAGCTTCGGTCAGATCCCCTGGTAATTCCTCACAGAGCCATTCTCCTTAGACCGTAATGATCTATCTGCGCCTCCTCACTGTTCACATACCCAAAGGGCCTTCACAATATCTAACTTGTCATATATCAATTTGCCACCAAGTGGTGCAGAGCCAACCACTCTATCTGCCTACTCATTTCCCAACACACATGCATACCCTGGAGAAAATATCGATAGGATGCTAACTACCCAGGACCTCTGAAGTGATGCTTGTCACTCTGCATGAAGAGATACTACAGAAATGCAATAAGACATTAACACAAGCTACGCAACTAGCAAAAAACATGAAACTATATCTAACTGTGATGCTTTACGGCATAAGCAGTAGGACAAAAGAAAAGGAAGAAGAAGATCAACACATTTAGAAGAGAAACTCATGTTAAAAGCTGGTCTCCCAGCTGAATGACTAGTTGCCTGCCAAGAGTGCTGCACAAAACATGAACTCCATTAGTTCCAGTGATGATTCCCTTGATATATGTAAAAACTGCACAACTCTAACAGCGCACTCTGTTAAGTAAGGACAGTTTTCTTCTTCTTTTTTGTTTTGGTTTCTTGTTTAGAACTTTTACTTTTCGATGTATGAAAAACTATAGAGCTATAGAGAATCTGTACTAATTGTACACTTGCAAAACATGGACAATAAATAAGTGGACAAAATTAAAAGCAAAACATAATCTGATTTAGAGTTTTTCTTATGGTCCATGCCATGTGGGGTTGGTAGTAATGTCATTAAGCATAGGCTGTCCATGTTTTTCTGTCTCACACGATCCCGGGAATCATGGAACAGGTCAATGCTATTGTTTCACCTCATTTATATTCTATCCACAACCTTTTGTCTTGAGTACTTTCAATCAATTCAGACACAGATGCCAAATTGTTCAGCATCTTCTCTTTTGGTCTTCTTCTGTCTCTTCTCCACTCCAACATTCTCAAAGAATGTCTCCTTCTGATGTAGGCAGTAAGTTCTCTTTGAGAGTCTGTTTGTTTTAGGACATCCTTATTACTCTTTTCAACTGTCCAGGGTGTTGATCTATAAAACCAAATCTCCACTGAGAGAAATAAAGAGTTGAGTTGAGTCAAGAATTGACAATCACAGCATTTGGGGCATTCCCATGCATGCTCCGTCCTCATCTTTAGCAGCCAGTGCAGAGTTCCAATACTAATAGTACCGGTCACAATCTGGTTGTATGTCCGTCTTGCCTTTCCTCTGAGTGTAGTGAGCCGGTCAGACCCTCTGGTTACACCCAGGTGCCTCATTCTCTACAGGCCATAATAATCTCCTATCTTTACTGATTCCGTTTCGTGTCCACAAAGGGCCTTGACCACATCTGCCTTGTCATGTACAGAGAAATAAAATAGTTAGATGTAGGAGTTCTAGATTTGGGGGGGGGGGGGGGGGGGGGGGGGGGGGGGGGGGGGGAGTTATGGAGAAAAAGAACCCAAAAAAAAAAAAAACAGGGAAAAACTGAATCGACAAACCTGTTGGGGAAAAGAGTGATAGAAAAATAAATAAAATAAAAGGCCAAGGAAACTTCTGAAGCCAGTGGGCCATTGGGCATCTGGTGCTACATTTGTATTTTTTTTCAGCCATCTGGGACTCAACGGATGAGGGACTCAACGAGTGAGGGACTCAATGGGTGAAGGACTCAATGGGTGAGGGACTCAACGGGTGATGGACTCAATGGGTGAGGGACTCAATGGGCGAGGGACTCAACGAGTGAGGGACTCAATGAGTGAGGGACTCAACGAGTGAGGGACTCAATGGGCGAGGGACTCAATGAGTGAGGGACTCAACGAGTGAGGGACTCAACGGGTGAGGGACTCAACGGGTGAGGGACTCAACGGGTGAGGGACTCAATGGGTGAGGGACTCAACGAGTGAGGGACTCAACGAGTGAGGGACTCAACGAGTGAGGGACTCAACGAGTGAGGGACTCAACGAGTGAGGGACTCAATGGGTGAGGGACTCAACGGGTGAGGGACTCAACGAGTGAGGGACTCAATGAGTGAGGGACTCAACGAGTGAGGGACTCAATGGGCGAGGGACTCAATGAGTGAGGGACTCAACGAGTTAGGTACTTGTCGCGTGCGAATGTGCACCAGAACGCACCAGTACGGAGTGAGCAAATAAGACGTCAAAACAATACGTAACGTTGTTATGATATTGTTGTTGTCTGAGCAGTTGATGTATATAGTCCGAAGGAGACGGACGTGGGAATCCTTGAGGACGCTTTACCCCGGGATCCCACGGAAGCAAACGTTATTAAAGTTGGATCCTTGAGGACGTTTTACCCCGGGACTCCAAGACCTCAGCAGGAAGCTGGTGAGCACTACATTCTCGGCAGCAAGCCGGTATACTTTCATTGCTTAATTCGGACTTGTCCGAGGACCAAGATGATTGTCATGATCTCAAGGTCGGACTGCGACCTATCGTGAGGACATATCATTACATGGATGTACGAGTGAGCTTTGGTTGAACGAGTTGATTATTGATTGCATACGTATTCTTGTGTTGATCATTGCTGATTGTATATATCAATACAACCATTGGAACTTAACGCATAGCGTTCGAGCTCTACATTTTGAAAGCATTGAAGTAACTACTGTTTTACCCCTACTTGGCCTATTTCATCTTGGTACCACACACTCAGCATGAAGCTCTGCACGTCCCAATGAAGGTCCGCACGTATCAATGGGGGCCAGCCTTTAAAGAATGAGGAACCTCTCGTCACAAGTGTGATACGACATTTTGTCGCATTGTTATTGTTTGCCTCAAGTTGTACACGAAGCACATTCCAGTTGTCACAGTCTTAACATATCTCTAGCTGTGGATATCGTTCAATGTATCAAGTCGCCGCCGCCGCCGGTCTGTTCTAGCCATCGTTGGATCTTTATCTGGACTTTATCAATCAGTCTTCGTTGGATCTCTGTGCCACTCTTCGTTGGATCTTCATCGGGACCGTATCATTCTTCGTTCGTTGGATCTTCATCGGGACTGTATCACACTTCGCTGGATCTTCATCATAATCAAGTCACCGTTACTGACTGTGCCACTCTCCGTTCGATTGAATCGGATCAAGTCGTCCTTTTGGTTGTACATTGATCTGCTACTTGCCGTTGTACCGGTCGTTATTTAGCGATTTTTCATCGCTAACATTGCAGTGTGTTGTTTGTCTGCCACCCAATTGGTAAGTCAATTGTGGTTTCTGTTGCGCTGACAATTTAACTCTTTCCTCCAGAGAACAGACCTGGTTTTCCCGTGCGCAAGTGGAGAGCGACATTAATTGTTACGTGTTATCAAGTAAGCGGGAGGTTGGGCGGTGAGAGCCTTATTCGATATTTCAACTAGCTCACCACTAGAGTGTCATATCGTCTTTGGCTCTGTCTGTAGCCAACTTCAACCCTCGGAGTGGTCCCCATTATAACAGGGAGATAGTTTATCTATTCGCGACTCGGTGGATTGATTTAGGCTAAAGTGTCTTAGTCCGGTCTCGTCACGTCCTGTACGTTTAGTTTGTAATAGTGCTACTTGGTGTTCTTTCGACGATTGTCCCTTCTCTATTTGTTAGTTCCATTGGTGTATTTGTGGAGTCATTTTTTTAATTATCGTCTGTCAGACTCGTCGCATTGTACGTGTGTGACAGTACGCAGTATTCGTTGTCCTGTGGCGTCACTTCACCACACACTATCATATATATCATATATTGTATATTGATTGTCATATTATTTAAATATGTCTACATTTGCTGAGTTTTTGGAGTTAGGTCGTAGTATAGGCCTAGAAAATGGACAACTCTTAGCTTTCGCCGAAGCCAGAATGAAAGAGTTGTCGGACAGAGATAACCAGTTACGCGATGAGAGAACAGCGGAACGCGCCTGGAAAAAAGAAATGGAGTTGGAGAAATTACGCATGGAAAAAGAAGCTGAGGCTGAGAAACTACGCTGGGAAAAAGAAGCTATGGCGGAGAGACTGCGTTTTGAAATGGAGACTAATTTAGAAAGGTTACGTTTGGAGAACGAATTAGAACTAGCGCGTATAGATAGAGACAAGGTTGTTGCTGTGTCAGAATCAGAGAGCCGTCGTCTTGTGACTAGTAGCCGTTCGGGTTCCGAACAAGGGGCATGTGTATACATACCCAAATTACCGTTTCTTACACCTACAGAAGATCTTCATAATTTTTTGGATCGCTTCTCGTTAGCGATGAATACCGCTAAGATACCAGAGAAACAATGGGTGTCTCGTTTAAGGGATTTGCTAACG